GTCTAGGCCTCTGCGTCTTCCCACTCCACAAGTCAGCAGAGCCAAGGGAGGTGCTCAGGTGGCCAGTTTTCCTTCTCTTCTAGCCTCTTCACCCCCAGGTACCAGGATCGTCCTGCCTTAGCCTGAGGGAACCTCCTGCCTACCCTCTACCCAGGTGTTGATTTGAATGATTTTTTTTTTAATGTTTCTAAGCTTTACTTTTTCACCAATATGATAGATAATATGGGAAGGATCTGGTCTTCAGAGTTCCGTTTTATGTGTGATATTGTGTCCCAGGGGACTAACCTGCTTTGCCAGGCTCTTTTGATTGGTTAGTAATGGATTAGGGACTAGAGTCCAGGTTTCTTTACTTCTTAGGTGATAACCAAACATCCACATAGATGACCTTTAGGTAGTAAAACTGAGAGTGCAGATGTGGATTTTAAAGATCTCTGTGTAGAGACAGCAGAAGTAAAAAGGTTAGCAAATGGAGTGGCTACAGAGAAAGGAACAGAGCCTTAATGTGCTAAGAGGGAGGAGCTCTAAGAGACAAGGGAAGGCAGGAGCCAAGGGAGAAAAGAGGCCCTGATGAAGGAAGAATATCAGTTTCATACTGTCAGATGCCAGAGAAACTAAGGTTGAGGATGAAGGAAAGGCGTTTGGGTTGGCTGGTGTGGTTTTTGGTGAATGGTGCTTGTGGACCAAACAGAAGGACCACAGAGTAGGCTAAGAAGCAATGGAGTCCTTTATTTAAAAAATAGAGCATGGTTTATCCATTGATCGGTTTTTGTTTGTTTTGTTTTGTTTAAGGGAGAGAGAGAGAGAGAGAGAGAGAGAGAGAGAGAGAGAAACAAACATGGATCAGTTGCCTTCTACACAAGCCCCAAACAGATCAAACCCGCAACCTGGGTCTGTGCCCTGACGGGAAGGAACCCCTCCATCACCTTTTGGTATACAGACTGATGCTCCAATCAGTGGAGCCACCCAGCCAGGGCTGGAGTCCTTTTTAATAAGGACAAGTTCTTAAAATAGAGCAAAGCCATGCCCTGGCTCAGTGGTTATAGTGTCGGCCTGTGCACCAAAGAGTCCTTGGTTCAATTCCTGGTCAAGGATAGGTACTTCGGTTGCCAGTTCCTTCCCCACCCCTTGTCCAGGCACCTGCAGGAGGCAACCAGTTGATGTGTGTCTCTCACGTCAATGTTTCTCTCCCTCTTCCCCTCTCTCCCCTCTCCCTCCCTCCCTTCTACTCTCTGAAAACCAATGAGAAAAAATATCCTCAGGTGAGGATTAAAAATAAAAAATAAATAAATAGAGCAAAGCCATATACAGTAGTATGCAAATTAATCTTTTATGTGCTTCATTTTTCAGATTTCAATAAGTAAGCTAACGTACTTTGATAATCAGAAAAAAGTTGTGTCCCTGGAATAAATGTAAATCCCTTTTTAGTGGTGGTGATCCACAAAAAGATTTTACAAAACCTAGAAAGCATGGCCGACTCAAGCAAGGAGACTGGCAAAGAATGAGAGAGAAAATGTCCATTCCCCCACCCCCTCAGTGGGCAGAGCTGAATCCATAAAGAGAGAAGATGGATCAGAACTACTGAGGGGGGAGGGGGAGTGGTGACATGGCTAGGAGAACACAGTCAGTCCCCTGGGAGCGGGGAGAGCCCTGGTCCAGCCTCTAAAGTTAATTATTGATTTCAGAGGAGAGACTCCCTTCTGGAGAAAGTTAGGTAAAGGAATCCACTGCCTGAGGAGATTTCTAAGCAGTGTATGGGAGAGGCTCGTTTTTTCTCTGTCGAAATAAAAGCTGCTGCTTTAAGACCCTGAGTAGATTGTTCATGGACCTAATACTCTGTCAGCTCGACTCTCGTTTTTTCTCTGTCGAAATAAAAGCTGCTGCTTTAAGACCCTGAGTAGATTGTTCATGGACCTAATACAAGCAATTTCTAACATTTTAAGTTCTCAAGATGGACAAGAGGGATTTTTCTGTGTTTTTTCAAATTATTGTATGCTACAAAAACCTACAGAGCTCAGAGATTAAATGCTTTTCCTCCACCAGTTTTATTACAAAGGATATCTAAATAGCCAGGATTATGTAGTGATTTTCTGGCAGGGCCAGCAGTAGCATCTGCAGCTTGTGAAATGTTGTTTTTTGTCCTTTTGTTACTTTCCTCAAGAATGTCACCAACGTAGATGGGGTTTGTTCTCTGTTCCCTAAATCCAGCATTTGGAGTTACCATCTTTGCTGCGGTCCCAATTTTGAGACCTTCGTGGTCTGGAAAAATATTTCTTAAAATGTGTGAAAGTAATATTATAAAGTAGTACTTCTTTTATGAAACCACGTAGGGATCCATTAAGTTGCAAATTCTGATTCTATGGGTCAAGGGTGAGGCCTAAGTTTGTGTTTCCAATGAGTTCCAAGGTTACGCCAGTGCTGCTGGTTCTTAGACCGTACTGTGAGCAACAACGGCATAAAGTTGTGCTGTCCAGTACAGTATAGCCCCTGGCCACATGTGGCTGTTGAGAACCTACAGTGACTAGTTCAAATTGAGGTGTACTATAAATGTAAAATATATACCAGATTCCAAAGGTTTATTATGAAAAAAAGAATATAAAATATCTTATTAATGTTTTTATTGGTTGCATCTTTTATTTTTTAATATATTTTTATTAATTTCAGATAGGAAGGGAGAGGGAGAGATAGAAACATCAATGATGAGAGAGAATCATTTATCAGCTGCTCCTGCACACCCCCTACAGGTTATTGAGCCTGTAACCAGGCATGTGCCCTTGACCGGAATCTAACGTAGGACCTTTCAGTCCGCAGGCGAATGCTCTATCCACTGAGCCAATCCGGCTAGGGCTATTGGTTACATCTTGAAGTAATAATATTTGGGACATACTAGGTTAAATAAAATTACTAAAATTAATTTCACCTGTTTCTTTTTACTTTTTCAATATGACACTAGAAAATTACATCTATGTGACTCACATTTGTGGCCTCTATTATATTTCTAGTCTAGAGCATTCATTCCTATCCTAAGAATAATCCATCTGAACAATATTGGTTTTATAAAAGAAATTACAGTTAGGATCATGCTTAAAGTGGTCTTTTATCAGAAATATGAGACCTTATAATAAAAAGCTAGCACATTGATGCTTGAACATATTTATAGGGAAATTATAAAGCATTCTACAAATGTTCCTTGATCCTCACCTTATGTAGTAACATGTTATATTTGTCCCCATTTTTAATGGAACAGCTAGTAAGAGGTCTTTGCATTGAGCATTGTAGTGTTTTTCTCTTCGTTGTTGAGAACAAGGGACTAATGAAAGTAGGTAATGGCAGAACAAATCAGACTGACAACCAGCAACCCACAAGGTTTTCCATCAGCCTGGGTTATGTTCCGTGCAGATGGTAGGATTTGCTGAATCTACCAAAAAAATGTAGGTTGCTTCAAGCCTGGCTTTTGCCCTCAAAGAGATTTCACAAGCCAGCTGGGGAAATGGATCATTTGAGAAAAATTTAAGCACAAAATAGTGTGGTTATTTTATCAGCAGACACATTCAGAGAAAGTAATGGCTACAGAGCAACAAGTTGTAAATCTGAATAGGTTATCTGGGGTTAGATAGTAAGAGGCCTTGAAAGCCATGCATCTCTCCCTTTTGCCAATAAGGGGATACACTTTGTTGTAGAAATCAAGCACTGTTTTTGTGAACCAAGTAAGTCTTAACTTCCCCTGCCAGAAAGCACATGTAGTTTCCCAGTACCATATGCATATAATCTTATTTTGTGTCAGGCAAGACTATCCAAAGCTATTCAACCAACATAGCTTTCTCCTGTCTCTCATACCTGAATAGCCTCCAAACCTACCTACTTTTACCTAAAACCATTGTACCTGTTCTGTCCCTCATGTTAGACAGTAACTCCTACAATGCAGAACCAGGTCTTGCCCACCCCTCTGTAGTCTTTGTACTCCTTTGCAGGTGGTTCTGGCTTAAGAAGAACCTTCCCTGACTGTTAGCATGGATACAGCATTAAGGTGCCTGGACAGAGAATTAAAGAAATGTACCTCTGATAGAAGTAGCAAAAGCTTTGTTTGAGACTGAGGGAAGAATGCAAAACACTTGAAATTTTTAAATTTTGAATTAGCCTTGTATATACTTGCAGGTTTTAAGTCATTACTTTCAGTTAGATGATTGTTCAGACTCATTTTACTCTTAGGTATCTGGGTACTCTGAGTACTCACGAGACTTAAGAGCCAGAAGCTATGAATTGGCTGATTTCCCCCCCCCCTGGTTTTGTTAATAATTCTTTAATATAAACTATCTAGAGTAGAATTTAACTGTCTCATGTTATATATTTCTTAACCATTTGTTGTTTTGAATCAGGACCCAAAGAAGATCCATACGCAGTGATTGATTGCTGCATTTTTTTAAGTCTCTTATCTGTGTCAGGGCTTTTCAAATTCAGCACTATTGCTATTCTTTGTTGTGGAGGACTGACTTGTGCATATAGCAAGGTGTTTAGTAATATCTCTGGCCTCTCTGCCCACTGGATGCTAAGTAGCATACCCACTCTAGAAGTGATAACCAAAAATGTCTCCAGGCCTTGCCAAATGTCACCTGGAGGCAAAGTCACCCCACTACTGATCTGTAGGTTCTCTATCTATCCTTCCCATTTTTTTCTTCTGGTGATTTATTTGCAAAAGAAACTGCAGTTTTCTTCTGTCTAGATTTCACCCCTGTAGTGTAACTTAACATCCTCTGTCACCAATTTCCTATTAATTGGTAGTTGAATCGAGAAGCTATATTAGTTTAAATGTTTTTGTTTTGTTTGACAAGACTGCTTCATGGGTAATGTTTTGTCCTTCTGTCAGGAGGCACATGGTGTGTGTTATTTTTTTGTAATATTAACCATTTTTCAGGGATCTTTTTTATTTTAAAATGTATTATATATATTTTCATGTAGATATAAACTTTATTTTAAATAACAATCTGTGTTCTCTCTTAATAAAGGAAGGGGAAATGGAAGGTGAGGCGGTTGAAGCCATTGTGGAGGAATCTGAAACTTTCATTAAAGGAAAGGAGAGAAAGACTTACCAGAGACGCCGGGAAGGGGGCCAGGAAGAGGACGCTTGCCACCTACCCCAGAACCAGACTGATGGGGGTGAGGTGGTTCAGGATGTCAATAGTAGTGTGCAGATGGTCATGATGGAACAGCTGGATCCTACCCTTCTTCAGATGAAGACCGAAGTAATGGAGGGTACGGTCGCTCCAGAAGCAGAGGCTGCTGTGGACGATACCCAGATCATAACCTTGCAGGTTGTAAATATGGAGGAACAGCCCATAAACATAGGAGAGCTTCAGCTTGTTGAAGTCCCCGTTCCCGTGACTGTACCTGTTGCTACCACTTCGGTAGATGAACTCCATGGGGCTTATGAGAATGAAGTGTCTAAAGAGGGCCTTGCAGAAAATGAACCCATGATCTGTCACACCTTACCTTTGCCTGAAGGGTTTCAAGTGGTGAAAGTGGGGGCCAATGGAGAGGTGGAGACGCTAGAGCAAGGGGAACTTCCACCTCAGGAAGATCCTATTTGGCAAAAAGACCCAGACTATCAGCCACCAGCCAAAAAAACAAAGAAAACCAAAAAGAGCAAACTTCGCTACACAGAGGAGGGCAAAGATGTGGATGTTTCTGTCTATGACTTTGAGGAAGAGCAACAGGAGGGTCTGCTATCAGAGGTTAATGCAGAGAAAGTGGTTGGTAACATGAAGCCTCCAAAACCAACAAAAATTAAGAAGAAAGGTAAAATGATTTTATCCCTTCTATTCTCATAAAGCCAATTTGGAATGAAGTACATAACGATATATATGCAGGTTATTTTATAGTAAGTTAATTTACTTTTTAAGATCATGATGTGAGTGCTAGTCTTTTTAGCCAGTCTAAAATAAGTTTTTAAGTCCTGAAGATAAAGAAATAAATCTATTAGTGGCAAAAAAATAATTATGATATTTATAGAAATTTAAGATTGGGATTAACCTTAACATTTTTTAACCCTACAACAAGTAAGTGTTTTATTTTGCATATAGGTGTAAAGAAGACATTCCAGTGTGAGCTTTGCAGTTACACGTGTCCACGGCGTTCAAATTTGGATCGTCACATGAAAAGTCACACTGATGAGAGACCACACAAGTGCCATCTCTGTGGCAGGGCATTCAGGACAGTCACCCTCCTGAGGAATCACCTTAACACACATACAGGTGCTGGATAAGAATGTTGGGAACTACAGCATAGCTACGATTAAAACTTGGACTTTATAAGGATGGTGATCCAGAGAAAGATTATCTGTGGTAGATAACCTGTCGTATTTCCTAAAGACATCACCATTGTGTTGCTAAGGTTTTAACAACTACTAAAAATGACCCCCAAAATTCCTAGACAAAAATTGCCAGACACTTTGTTGAAGAACGTTAGAAATAGTAGTGAAATCCTACCTTTGTAAAAACCATGCTTTCTGGTTGTTTTACCTCAAGGAAGATAAGTAATTCATAATCTCAGAATGGAAAGTGTAAGGCATCATTCTAGCAGTTCAAACATTTATTCATTCACACTCCATGCATACTTCAGCATGCTAACATTAGCTTCACCTTGACTGTGGTCAGGTCTTGGGGGTCACTAAAGTGGAGGACTGTGCACTGGAGCTCTCTTTTAGGCTCTCTTCCGGGCTCTTGGCATTTTAGTGTTGGCTTTGGCTCTAAGTGCTAACAATGAAACTTCTTTCACCCAGTTTTTTTGTTTTGTTTTGTTTTTTTGTTGTTGTTGATTTTTTTTACAGAGAGGAAGGGAGAGGGATAGAGAGTTAGAAACATGGATGAGAGAGAAACATCAATCAGCTGCCTCCTGCACACTCCCCACTGGGGATGTGCCCACAACAAAGGTACATGTCCTTGACCGGAATCGAACCTGGGACCCTTGAGTCCGCAGGCCGATGCTCTATCCACTGAGCCAAACTGGTTAGGACCACCCAGTTCTTTATGCAGAATAGCTCTTCTCTATCCAGATTCTCCACATAATTTTATATGATGACTCTTGTTTTTATTTGATGTGCTGATTGTCCAATGAGTGTGATTAAGTGGGGGTTGGCCTATAAGCAGTATGCTGTGTATTTGTATTTTTTTGCTGATGTGACTTAGTCACTTTTTTAAAAAAAAATATTTTTTTATTGATTTCAGAGAAGAGAGAGGGAGAGAGAGATAGAAACATCAGTGATGAGAGAGAATCATTGATCAGCTGCCTCCTGTATGCCCCCCACTGGGGATCAAGCCTGCAACCCAGACATGTGCCCTTGACCAGATTAAACCCAGGACCCTTCAGTCTGCAGGCTGACGCTCTATCCACTGAGCCAAACCAGCTATGGCTGACTTAGTCACTTTTCGCCATCTTCCTAGTTTCTACTCAGACACTTGATATGTTTTATTGACAGTTTGAAGACATTATAAAAGCAGCATATCTATAATAATAAAAGCGTAATATGCTAATTAGACCGGACAGCTGGACAACCTTCTGGACGAAGCCAAGCTGCGAGGGCTGAGCCCCTTGCACGAATTTTGTGCATCGGGCCTCTACTGACTTGATAAAAGTAGCTGGCCCCAGAAAGTCAGTTTATGCTGAGGAGTAACATCTTTGCATTTTCTAGATGTAGTTATATTGCATTCTAGGGTACACCCTTGCCTATGTCAAAATGCTGTAGCAATTGAAGCGTGACTTGGTGAGCGTGGATCTTGAGCAGAGGGACATACGTGGTCTTGTGGTGCAACCCGATGAAAATCTGTCCCACAGCAGAGATTCTTCCTTAATTGCCATTCTTATGTCTACCAGATCAGGGGTGGGGAGTGTCTGGCCCGTGGACCATATAAGGCCCAAGAAATCATTTAGTCTGGCCTTACCAAAGCCTTAAGGTTGAGTTAATTAAATGTTTGCCCAAATATAGCAGAGCTAAATTTTAAATTGATAATTTTGTATGGCCTGCAAATGATGTTATAAATATCCAAATGGCCCTTGGCAACAAAAAGGTTCCCCACCCCTGCTCTAGACAGTACTAGGTAAGCGTTGGAGATTCTTGGTTTTCAGTTTGCCTTTTTAGAAGTGGATGCTGCTTTCCTTCTCTTGTTAACTGTTATTTTACTTATATCTCTATACCACCAGACTATACATTTTTCATAGACAAGAACTCTGTCCTTCACTCCTAAATCCTCTGGTATTAAAGGAGCAAATTGAGCAAATAAACATTCATTGGAATTTCTTAGTTAAGGATCATATTCCAATCACACTTCCCTCTCCATGGTTCTCTCAATCTCTGGGAGAATCATTTTTGTAATGGCTGCCTCCATTCATTACATTGGAGCTCTTCCTAATTCCATTCTCAGAGGTAGCCTTCTTTTGGTTTTGGTGTTTGGGATTACCTTGCTGTCCCCATTTTTAATGCCCATAATTAAAGATGATCCCTAGTTTCTGAATAATAGTCTGTAAAAATAGCACTCTGTTCTTCTGTCAGCTTTATCACCTCATTGTCATTATTACCTGGGCATTTCTTTCCAATGCAGTATTCAGAATATAAAGTGGCTAGAAAAGGTTTACTAAAGTAATATGGACATATTAAAAACAATAAGATTCTTTCAATGACGGGGGGGAAAAACAAGAAATGTGTTGGCTGTGTATATTATTAGTTTATAGAAATGTTCAAATATTCCTGAATTGACATGCAGATCATAGAATGTTAGACATGGATGTTGGAAAGTGTTGAAAGTGATCTGTATAAAGGCAATTGTACTTGGTAAAACCTTTGATAAATTTCTAGAATTCTTTATCAAATGGGTAATTAAGAGAAACTAAATGTTTAGCACATTTTATAATAGTTTAGGGTTAGTGTCGTAAAGTCTGCCAGTCCTTCTTATAGTTTTTTGAGCTACTTTCTGGCTAGTGCAGAGTTAATGAAATAACCAGGGTCCATTCTCATGAATCATTAACTGTGCCCTTGATCTTGTCTATCCTCTTTTCTCTTAGGTACACGTCCTCACAAGTGCCCAGACTGTGACATGGCCTTTGTGACTAGTGGAGAATTGGTGCGGCATCGTCGTTACAAACACACCCATGAGAAGCCATTCAAGTGTTCCATGTGCGATTACGCCAGCGTAGAAGTGAGTATTCAGCTTGTTGGCTACTCTTAAGATCATGATACCAGTATGAGGATATAAGCTACCCAAACTGACTTAAGATGAGATAGAAAATCTAATTAGATTATTAACACCCCCACTCCCCACCACCAAAGGAAACTGTAATGAGTATGAAAGATTTACCCTATAAAAAAGCACTAGTTCCACGTGTCATTATAGGCAACTTCCACCAAACTTCACAGAAACAAATAACTATATCCAGAGTATTTAAAAATGAGTTTTTTCACCTTTATTATTTTAGACTACCCTGTTATCAAAACTGGATAAGGATACTACCTTATTCTCACAGAAAAGCAAATATTCTAAGTAAAATTAGTTTTTAAATCAAATATAGTAATATATTTTTAAAAATAAGTGATTACTGCTCTGGCCAGTGTTGCTCTATGGTTAGTGCGTTGGCCCATGCACAGGTTTGTGCACATACCTGGGTTGCAGGTTCAATCCCTGGCCCTGGTTGGGGCGTGTGAGGGAGGAACAAATCCATCTCTCTCATTCCCCCCTACCCCTTTGTTCCACTCTCTCTAAAAACATCCTGGGGATAAGATTAGCAAGACAAAAAAAGTGATTACTAGAGTATATTTAAAATGCAAGGACAGTTCAACATTAGGAATTTATTAGTGTGAACGAAATTGAGAGATTTTTGAAAACCATATGATCATTTGTATAGATTATTGAAAAACTAAATTTCAATACTCAGTTACTGTCTAGTGGAAGGAAATGTCTTTACTATAAGGAGTGTATACGAGAAATCCATAGGAAACTAACTCTGAAATATTGGAAGTATTCCCATTAAAATTGGAACAAGACATCTATCTTCAGCATTGTATTGGAAATCCTAGCTAATAGAATAAAATAAGAAATGAATGATAAATGGAAAAAACAAAATTGTCATTTCTTTCAGACATATTTCCTTATAGAAAATTCAAGAGTATTAGCTAAAAAAAAGAGTAGTAAGTGTTCAGTTGGGTGACCAGATATAAGTTAAGTACACAGAAATCAGTGACTTACCTTATACCAGTTGTTCTCAACCTTCTGGCCCTTTAAATACAGTTCCTCATGTTGTGACCCAACCATAAAATTATTTTCATTGCTACTTCATAACTGTAATGTTGCTATTGTTATGAATTGTAATGTAAATATCTGATATGCAGGATGGTCTTAGGCGACCCCTGTGAAAGGGTCGTTCGACCACCAAAGGGGTCGCGACCCACAGGTTGAGAAGCGCTGCCTTCTACTATCAGTAGTAGGAAACAGGTTCAAATTCTAGCAAGCAATATAATGATTTAGAGATAAACTGAACAATAAAAAACATCTGATACCGATGTGAAGAAAACTTGATTTTTCTGAAGGACATTAATAAATGAAGAGACACTACGAGTTCTAAATTCAACTGGAAGAATAAATATGAATGACTAAGAAAATTTGACAAAAGAAGGAGGGGGTTGTGCAATTGGATGTTGTAAAAACCATATAGTAGTAAATGAAGACAATGTGATACTGGAGCAGAAATAAACAAAAAGCTTGTTGGGACCGAATAGTCTTGTGCACATAGGAATTTAATGTGTGATGAGGAGGCAAATCTTGGAAAGAGAATTATTCAGTAATGCTGTTGGGACCATTGTTAAACCACTTACAGTCTGAAAATTTGCTATGAGTGCAAGGGGATTAATAAGTATGTTTAAAGCACTTAGAATCAAGTTTGAAAGTCACTCTTTTGTTGAAAAGGTACCCATAGAAGACGAAGATCATAGTCAGTAGTGAGGAACGTAAGTGAGAGGCCCCTGAAGCCTAGCCTGGCTGGGAAGTGTTGATGATGGGAAGAGAGGACGAGGGGAATTAAAACGTGCTTATTAATTCGGATTCAAATTTTGGAAGAAAATTGATGAGCATGGATTATTTTTAAACTATTACGGAAAAATTCAAAAATATAAAAGTAGATAGAGTGATATATAATATACCCCCATGTCCCTATTATCCAGCTTAAAGTTATTAATGACCAATCTTGACTATGTATGCCCCTATTTATTTACTCTCTTCCTCTAGATTACAGTATGGATTTGAAAAACAAAGATTACAAAGAATGAGGAAGAGATGCTATCTTTTAGACTTTTTCTGTATTCTGACCTTCAGTGCCCAAAAGCTAACTTTTGTGCCTACTCCACAGCATTCACGTTACAATATGTTAATTAAAGTGTAAGAGGTTTGGTTGCTTTCATGTTTCAGGTCAGCAAATTAAAACGTCACATTCGTTCTCATACTGGAGAGCGTCCGTTCCAGTGCAGCTTGTGCAGTTATGCTAGCAGGGACACATACAAGCTGAAAAGGCACATGAGAACCCATTCAGGTAGGACTTCTCCCCTCCTTGTTGTATCACTGAACTGCTTTTCAGTGGGTTCTGTGGCACCCTGTGAACCACCACATGCCCCTCCATTACCTGAATGGAAGTATATCATTGATGAGTGCCTTTCTGGCATATCTGCTGAATTCATTGTTCTGAATATACATTGAAGAAAAGAAAGTTTTTACTGTTGGAAATCTGGGTAGGCTACTTAACCCAGCTCATTCAGTTTTCCTAAAAGGAACATCTACCTGTAGGTCCTCTTGTCATCCCATGTGCTTTCCCCAAAAGGTAAGCATTGCTGTGGGAACTCTCTTCTTTGTTTCTTTTTCATTTTGGAAATATTTTTTAATTCTTTTATTATTTTTTTTAACAAATGGCCCCAGGGATAGGAGACCAGGGGAGCAGGGAGGAGGGGAAGCGAGGCCCCAGCCCCACAACCCTTCCCACCCACCGCTTTTCCCCTTATATGTTTATAATCTATATACAAGGCCTGGGGCTGGGGGGAGGGGGGATAGAGGCAAGGGGAACTCCCTCAGCAGGGTGGAGGCTCCTTGTCCCCTTGGTACCCAGGCTCTTCTGCCTGTTGGGAAGACTATTCTCAGGAAGGTGGCCCTGTCGGCTCCCAAGCTTTGGCATCCAGCATAAGGCATCAGGTGGGGAGGCCTGGGGGGCAGACACATGTGGAAGAGGAAGTAGAGCTCCATTCATGCTGGGAGGTTAGGAATGGAAGGGCAGCTTGGGATGGTAACATGAGAATTCAGACTTGGGGTTATGGGGGTTTCTTCCTCACCTGCTGGTGTGTTGGGTGCGGAAGGACCCGCTATAGGTGGAGGGTGGGGCTTTGAGATGGGAACTGAGTCCTACTCTTTTTCTAATATGTACAACTCTGTGGCAGCAGCAGTTTAGGGCTTGTTTGCCATCTCTCAAGATAAGCATGAGCCAGTTAGTGGGCCTGAGCCTCAGCCTTCCTGAGTAAGACCTAAAGATTCTCTGTGGCTTTATATATCTGCCACCTGAGTTGCCCTCCAATTAAATGATAGTATTTAGTCATTTCATCTAATGTATTCATTCTGTATTTCCTTTTTAGGGGAAAAACCTTATGAATGTTATATTTGTCATGCGCGATTTACCCAAAGTGGTACCATGAAGATGCACATCTTACAGAAGCACACAGAAAATGTGGCCAAATTTCACTGTCCCCACTGTGACACTGTCATAGCCCGAAAAAGTGATTTGGGTAAGTAAGTTAGTGGCAACTGAAAAAAAATATTTTGAAGGATTTGGGAAAGTATGAAGATCATAACTTCTTTTTTAAAAAATATTTTATTGATTTCAGAGAGGAAGGGAGAGGGGGAGAGAGATATATCAATGAGGAGAATCATTGATTGGCTGCCTCCTGCACGCCCCCTACTGGGGATCGAGCCCACAACCCAGGCATGTGCTCTTTACCGGAATCGAACCTGGGACCCCTCAGTCCCCAGGCTGACACTCTATCCACTGAGCCAAACCAACCAGGGCCATAAATAACTTCTTTATCTGACTTGTGTAAGTTTGTGTATGTGCATGGTCTACCACTTAATAAAAGCTATTGTTTAGCTGCTATTTTTTTTTCTATCTCTTCTTTTTCTTACTGCATATAGCTCATCTATAAATTAATGGAGCTATAATGAGAAGAAACAGAGTATACCTTTAATTAGTAGCCAGAATGTTTAAGTCCCCAAATAGACAAGTGACATAGTATGAGTCAAACTTAAGGTCAGTTCAAGTCAGATTTTTCAAAAACATTTATGCTTTCTCTGGATAATTGTACTGTTTCATTGGTAACTGATAACTACAGTCCTGTGCATAATTAATCTAGAGTTCATATAGAGGCAGAGTTTAGCAGTAGAAATTTTAGTATGTCATACTTAGAGATATGGTCACTTGGAATTCTCAGTTTGTTTTTCTTATTTAAAAAAAAAAATACTGTCCCTAAAAGTAATTCTTATAAACATTTTGACATTTAGATAATTATTTAACAAATTGCTTATGAGCTGTCACATAGTAGTTTTTGCTTTTTTACCCTTTTGATCTTCACAACAACCATATTAAATAATCAAGGAATGTATTCTAGCTTTATAGGCTAGACAGGTGTCTTCACCAAAAGCTACACAACACACCTCATGAATAACAAAACTGGACTTGAGTCCTCTTTAGTTGTCTCTTGCATTGGGGGCAATATATAAGTACCCAGGTTGCATCAGGAACATAGATTTAAAGGCACTGTCCTCTGATAAAGTTTTACTGTTCTTATATAGAAACTAAAATCTAAACCAATAATACCTCATGGCAGTGTGTGAGCTGTTAGGCCACTGTCTGGATATTCAAGTTTATCTCCCAAAATTAATCCCAGAGAAGTATGTGTTTCCTCTTTAAAGGAGGCCTGATTTCACTCTTCTATGCAGTAAATAAAATTATTCACTTTGTGACAGGAAAACTTGGGCTTTGTAGACAGACCTACTAGAATCAAGATTCACTTCCAAATACTTATTACTATGAGCCTTCTCCCCCTCCCCCTCAACTGATGTATAGGAATAATACCTATCTTACAGGAATGTTATTACAAGTATTTAATAAGAATATATGAAAGAGTGGTAGGCCTCTGTCAGAGGACCAGAAGGGGAAAGTTGAAGCCTAAAAATTATTCGAAATATATACGTATATATATAAGGCCTTAAGCCCTAGCCTGTTTCGCTCAGTGGATAGAGCACCGGCCTGCAGACCAAAGGGTCCTGGGTTCAATTCCAGTCAAGGGCTCATACCTTGATTGCAGGCTCCTCCCTGGTCTGGGCCCTGGTTGGTTTCTTTCACATTTATGTTTCTCTGTCTTTCCCTCTCTCTTTCACTCTTTCTAAAAAATCAATGGAAAAATATCCTTGAGTGAGGATTAGTAATAAATAGTCTTCATATAATGAACATGTATAGCCAACCCTTCCCTTACTCATTTCCATTCCCCAGAGTTGGCCCTCGGTAAGTTTGATATATTGCCTTGATTGAATCAGATTGGTAGAATCATAAATTCATGATCCCAAATGCAGCTGACAGGGCTCATTGCTGCTGGACAGTCCAACTATTTATCCTTGTCAGGTGTGCTCCCAATCTCCTCAGTGAGTTTGTTCATTGATTCATTCCACAAATGTTTGGGTGCCTGCTGTGTGGGAGGCACTATGACGGTTAGGTAAATCACTTTCTTTAAGCCTCTAATCTTCCCTTTTCTGTCTCCCTGGTGTCAGTGAGTGACCTCTTTTTCTACTTAAAAATAAAATTAAGGCAGCAGGTTGAAACTCCAGATTTTCTGTTATTAAACCTACCTATGTCTATATTCATCCTCCCTTGTCCATCTTGTCTGAGGTCTGTCCCTTTGCATTTGCCTTGATCCCACTCTCCTGTCATGGTAGCCTTTAGCACCATCAATATTGCCTCAATAACTTCACGTTCTCACTCCTTGATGTTTCCCCTCAACTCTAAGCATGCTTGTGCCTCTTCTGTCTATTTTTATTTTTTATTATTGATTTGAGAGAGAGGAAGGGAGAGAGAGAGAGAGAGAAAAATATCAGTGTGAGAGACATCAATCACTTGCCTCCCGTACACACCCTGACCCAGAACCGAGCCCACTACCTTTTGGTGTACGGGACACTCCAACCAACTGGGTGGCACCAGCCAGGGCTTCCTCTCCTATCTTTAAAAAACTATTTCCCCTTCCAGGTTTAACTTTTATCTCCTTCCTAGCCAACCCTCATGAGGAATTAGGTCCCTCGCATTCTCTGTTCCACGGCTCCTAATTTCCCTCTCATCTGGAGGATGCCCCCTCACTCTGTGAACAGACTTGCTAAAATCACTAATAACCCCGTGTGGTAGAGCATAGGGAACATGGCTCTTCCTGTTTCCCTTGCTCTCTTAGCACCATTTTTTGTAGTGGTCTGTGCCCTCCTCTTTCTTTTGTTTTGTTGTTTTGTTATTCATGTTGTTGGGGTTTTTGCCCTCCTCCTTAAAACACTTTTTTCCCTTGGCTTTCATGGCACTGCAATCTGTTGGCTTGGGCTTGTTTCTCTGACCATTCTCAAACTTCTCTTATTTTAACCCTTTTCCTCTTACTGGCATTAACTTTTAGATTTCTTAAAATATGACTCATGCTCTTCTTTTCCATTCTTTACTTTTTGCTTAGTGATTTTATCAGCTCCCATGGTCTCACTCAAATTCTAACTCCTAAATTTATGTTTCTATGAGTTGGGCTTATATAACCATCTGTACCTTGCCATCCCTCTCCCTACTTGGATATTGTTGGCATTCCAAATGCAACATGTCAAAACTGAATCCTTAAAACTCCCTTGACCAGCCCTCTTCCACTCTTCCTTGTCTCAGTAAATGACCCCACCATCTACTTGGTTTTCTGAGCCAGAAACCAGGTAATTGTCCCTAACACCCACCTTCCTCTTCTGCACTCTATCACTAAGTCCTACTGATTCAACTTCCTAGATTTCTCATCAGTTCTCCCCCTTCTTCCCATATCCATTGCTATCTTCCTTATCCAAGCCACCATCTTCTCTCACCTATCCTGTTTCAGCATTGTAACTGGTCTCACATCTGTAGTTATTCCTCCTTTTACTTAATTTTCTGTATAACAGTGTAATCCTTTTAAGAAGCAGAAACAGATGTATTATTAACTTGTTGAAATGCTTGTTTATGTTTTCACAAGTTAAACTGGGCTCTATATTTTGCTTTCAGGTGTCCACTTGCGAAAGCAGCATTCCTATATTGAGCAAGGCAAGAAATGCCGATACTGCGATGCTGTGTTTCATGAGCGCTATGCCCTCATTCAGCATCAGAAGTCACACAAGAATGAGAAGCGCTTTAAGTGTGACCAGTGTGATTACGCTTGCAGACAGGTAGAGACTCATGTTTACAAAGCAGTTGATGCCTCGTGGGTGTCAGGTTTCATCAAAGGGTTCTTACCAACCTTGTATGGTGGCTATTTTTAATATGTTCAAGCTATGATTTGTAAGGAATATCTTCAAAGTTTCTGTTGATTGTATCTCAATCTCCAGCTGATGTTTTATTCAGTCACAGCTTACCCACTCCACCCCCACCTCAGGCAGACTACTGACTTCTTTCTCGGAACTCTGGAGATTAAGTTCAGGACTTGAAAGAAGGGAAGAATTTGGTCCTGGAGCCTGATGCTGGGGAATGATCTAAAGAAGCAGCCTGGCAGGAGTGGGCATATCTGCCTGGGATTTATTGGAAGTAGTTCACCCCAGTAAAGATCAGTTTATCCTTCCAACAAGCCTAGATCCTTGGGAGAGAAAAGCCTGTCAGCCATATGCACACAGGTGGTAGCTGGGGTAGCAGCGCTCTGACAGACAGGCTCTGAAGCCTCTGTCCCCACCCGCTCTTTCAGGAGAGGCACATGATCATGCACAAGCGCACCCACACCGGGGAGAAGCCTTACGCCTGCAGCCACTGCGACAAGACCTTCCGCCAGAAACAACTCCTCGACATGCACTTCAAACGCTATCACGACCCCAACTTTGTCCCTGCGGCCTTCGTCTGTTCTAAGTGTGGGAAAACATTCACACGGCGGGTAAGAAAGAGTCAGAGCTTTACATCCTCTATTTTGGTTCTTTTTTCTTTTAAATTTATTGGGGTGACATGGTTAATAAAATTATATAGGTTTCAGCTACACAATTGTATGATACATCATCTGTATATTGTATTGTGTGTTCACCACCCCAAGTCAAATTACAATGGTTCTTAATATTGTGTTCTTGGTCTTCCACTGCAAAGCACGACAGTGCTTCCCACTGAGGTAATAGACACAGAGGTCTTGTGTCCATGTGTGAACCCTCTGCTGGCAGGGAGTCCCCAATCGGTCTGTCCTGGGTCTTCATTTGGGACCATGTTAGTCAGATCTGCACAGGACAGGGGGTTGGTCTGATCCTCCCCAGTTCCTTTTGCCTCATGCTGCTGAGCTCTCTGCTCAGGGGACCCAGCTTCATCTTCTGAAGGACTCCTCCTTCTCTCTCCCTTTTGTCCCCCTCCAAATGGAGATCATTTCCCTGAATGAGGAGAGCATATTTTAGGACATGCTTTAGCAGACATTCAGACTTAATATAGATACTCCATTTATTTATTTATTTGTTTGTTTAACTAAAATAAAGAGAACTTCCAGTGCTCATCTTTACTTTTTCAGTAATGTGAAAGAGGGTTTGTTCCTTTTGTTAGAATACCATGGCAAGACATGCTGATAATTGTGCTGGTCCAGATGGTGTAGAAGGAGAAAATGGAGGAGAAACGAAGAAAAGTAAACGTGGAAGAAAAAGAAAGATGCGCTCTAAAAAAGAAGACTCCTCTGACAGTGGTAAGTGGCTTGTTTCTTGGTTTAGTTGAACATGGCAGATTTTGGTACCCAGTTTATGTACGGATATGCTGGGAGATAGAAGTAGGCCAGTGCTTCCTTTAAACCTCTCATCTTCGTAGTGTGTGTATATATTTACAACAGCAGTTAGTTTGTTTCTGGGGCAAGTTTTTTTCTTTTTTTCCTAATGGCATTCTAGAAATTGCTTAATAATACCTTATATGTTATGTTCATTTAAAGCCAAAGCAAAATTAATATATTTACACAGTTTACTCAGATTAGTGATATTTTAAGGCCAGCAGCGTTTCTTTTCTATGTTCGTAACTTCCACATTTAGGAAGCTGGTCTAGATTTGAGCAATGAATCTAATGGGTATGAAGAAGGTTGCTTAAAGCATCTTGACCAACTTCTGGTTTGACTGCCTCTGTCAGCTTAGCCTTGAGATGTGTTGATCAAGTTTGTTGAAGGTCAGCCTTTCTCTTCCTTCCTTAATCTCTCCATTTATGTTTTAAAACTTGGCCTATTTTCCTACCATTGATGCCCTTTGGGGTGTTTCTTTCTAGTCATGAAATCCAGGCAGAAGGTATGCTTTGAGGTATTAGACTCATGAAGAGCGAGGGAGAACAAGAATGTTGGTAACGTAGGAGTCACATTTGAGGATACAAATTTGTTCCAAAGTATTAGGTTCTATAATGTGGACACTTGGGCTGCTGGCACCCAGTTAAGAAGGCATATCTGTGACTACAGATTTAAGCTTTTTATGGGAAAGAATGTAGAGAAGTTTTGTTTTGGGGAATGCACTTTCCCAGAAGCACCATCAGACTGGAGAGATTACAGATGGTGCCTAATTGCTATTTCTAAGGATTCCTCATTTTGTTTTCTGTGTTATTTGATAGTAGAAGTAGTGGGAAGGGAACAGAGTTTTTGAAAATTAAATAAAAACCTTCAGTTATTTTATTAGTTTTACTGTAAAACTTGCTCATGAAAGCACTGTTTTTTATATGTAGATCTAAAAGAAGGTCCCTTTAGTTTTTATTTATTTAGTTTAGTTTTTATTTATTTATTCACTTTTCTATTCAGAACCTTAGCTTCTTCTAGGAGCAATTTATTTTATTATTTTTTAATATTTTTTTTATTGACTTCAGAGAGGAAGGGAGAGGGAGAAAGAGATAGAAACATCAATGATGAGAGAGAATCACCGATTGGCTGCCTCCTGCATGCCCTCTACTGGGGATTGTGCCCTTGACCGGAATCAAACCCAGGACGCAGGCCGACACTCTATCCACTGAGCCAAACCAGCTGGGGCTGGGAGCAATTTATTTTTGCTGCCTTTTTTAGTGCAAAGTGTATTTTAAGCAGTATCTTGTTTAGCTTCAAAGTTTTAAGTGAATTACCTCCTTTAAAATGTCAGTGTGCTTACCTGGCCGGTTTGGCTCAGTGGATAGAGCGTCGGCCTGTGGACTAAAGGGTCCCCGGTTCAATTCCAGTCAAGGGCACATGCCCAGGTTGCAGGCTCGATCTCCAGTAGGGGGCTTACAGGAAGCAGCCGATCAATGATTCTCTCTCATCATTGATGTTTCTAACTCTCTCCCTCTCCCTTCCTCTCTGAAAGCAATAAAAATATATTTATTTTTTAAAAAAGTCAGTGTGCTTGCTTTTTAGAAAAGAACACATAACTCTACTAAGTATCTTTAAGAAAATGTGTGGACTATTAGGAGGTGCCAAGGAATATTTGGGGTCAGAAGGCCCCAAATATCGCCAGAGACCCACAGATAATCCTGACCTTGAGGTCCCAGGAGTTGCTCTTAGTTGCGGAGTTTCGTGCTGCCACAGATATCCCTTCTTTCCCGTGGTACTGCCCTGCTTGTTTCTGTGGGTCAGTCCCTAATTGTACTTCACCAGAAGCGTGTTTTAGCTGAAGAATTCTAGTTTGTAGAGCACAGTTTGGTTCTGGGCCTCATACCTAATACTAGTCTCTCCCCGCCCCCCAGTCTGGGTTTTCTATCCCACTGCTTACAAAGGCCAAGCAGTTATGTATCCCCTCCCAGGAGCTCTGCCTGGCCATCTGCAGAGATGGTACAGCAGAATCTACTGCTATTTTCAAGGGGTTTTTGCCCAAATTTCTCCAAGCCAATAAGCTTTTGACCCTATTAACCCTTTTTGTGTGTTTCTCTCCCCCACCCCCACCCCCCCCATTTCTGACTGAATTTATTTCGTTTTCTAGGCATTGGGCTAACTTAGGCAATAGGGGGTGTGAATAAGTTCAACAGAGAAGTTCTTGACACACTGCCACATAAGACTACGTTCCCCACATTTCACTTAGGATGTCAGTCACTTGATAAATAAGTTGTTTTGTCCCGAAGATCAGGCATTTACTCACAGATGTCTAAATTTAAACATTTGGTTCCAGAGGAAGAGAAAGTGATTGCAACCTGTGCTTCTTGGAGGAAGGCAGGCAGTGTGCATTTTGTGGCACGGCAGTGAGGGAGGGGTAACAAGACGTCTTTGGCTGCCTGCAGGGGTGAGCAGCAGAACAGCCCCAAATTGAGGTTAGAGGTTGGATTTCCACCTGCTGTGGCTTAGCTGTGCCTTACAAATCACTTAGCTTCTCACTTTTTCTATAAAATAGGGATAACATCTCTTACTAAATAATGAGTGGAATAATGGAGACATTTTAAATCGTGGTGTACAGTGTCAATACAGCTGTGTTTGTGTAGTAGATCGTAAGCTACAGAGCATGATTTACATGTGTTATCTCAACCCTTTTGATACTCAAATCACTAGTAAGTAGATTGAGAGCTTTAAAAATTACACAAGGAAACTGAGGTCCAGTGTGGTCAGTGTCTTAGGTCTCATACCTAGTAAGAAATCCAGGGCTCAAAGCCATATGTTATCAGGCCCCTCATCAGTATTTTTTCTACAATAGTTCCCTCTCCTTTTATGGGATTACTAGAGACCCTGTGCATGAATTTGTGCACGGGTGGGGTCCAGCCTGCCTGGCCCCAATTGGGGCAGGAGGTTGGCCGGCCAGGCCCTCCCCCTATTGGGATGGGGGGGCAATCAGGGGCAGAGCCGGTCAGGGGAGGGGTGGTGGGCCGATCAGGGACGGGGTTGAATGGGGGGAGGGGGCATGGGAGGGTTGGCTGGCGCCCCACCCTTAATTGGGGTGGGAGAGGCTGATCAGGGCCAGCTGGGGGGAGGGGTCACGGGAAGTTGCCTGGCTGGCCCCACCCCCCATCAGGCAGGTTTACTGGCCTCAGAGGGCATCATAGTGACCGGTTGTTAATGGCGTTACGGTCACTGGCTTTTTATATATATAGATGGCATTAGAGACAAAGTAAGGGATTAAGGATGACCTTTGGGCCTGATACTGATATTAAGCTGGGAAGAAGAAAGTGATTGCAACCTGTGCTTCTTGGCTTTTAACTCTAAAAACTTGGCCTGTTTAAAGCCCATCAATAGTACTCCTAAAAGAACTCTTGCTACTTATCCTGGTAAATAAGACCTCACAGTGCATCAGGAGCTTCTGTCTTGCTTCCTCACACACACACAGCCTTCACCCACTCAAATGAGCAGGACCACATCTTTAGGGGTCCATTTCAGGCTTATGTCCTCCTTTATCCTCGTAGAGTAGGTTGAGGGAATATTTGTTTTATTTTCAACCTAAACGCTATTTGTGGTTTTGTTATGACTAACATATAAGGTGAAGTTGTCTCTAAGAATTTAAACTCAATATTTTCTGATGTCTAAAGCTAAAGAAAAAAATATCTAGTCCATGTAAAATATGATTAATAGTAGTCAAGTTCCTTTGCTTATTAATTCTGCCACAATACCAGTTTACTCTGCTTTGACTGATAGCAATAATTTCAGCAAAAGCATTTTTTAAAAATATATTTTTATTGATTTCAGAGAAGGGGGGGGAGAGAGAGAGAGAGAGAGAGAGAGAGAGAGAGAGAGAGAGAGAGAGAAAGAGAGAGAGAAACATCAATGAGAGAGAGTCATTGATCGGCTGCCTCATGCATGCCCCCTACCAGGAATCAAGCCTGCAACCCGAGCATGTGCCCTAACTGGGAATTGAACCGTAACCGCCTGGTTCTTAGGTCAATGCTCAACCACTGAGCCACACTGACTGGGCAGCAAAAGCATTTTTAAAATGGGCTTTTTAACAATGAAATTAAATACATAACTAAACTTCACAGAGTATATGATTATTTGTGTTATTTTTTCTTCCACCACCTGTTCTCCCTGATTTAATAAGAAGAAAATGCTGAGCCAGACCTGGATGACAATGACGATGAAGAGGAGCCTGCTATGGAAATTGAACCTGAGCCAGAGCCTCAGCCTGTGACCCCAGCCCCACCACCTGCCAAGAAGCGGAGAGGACGCCCCCCTGGCAGAACCAACCAACCCAAACAGACCCAGCGTAAGTCTCCCCTCAGTTACTGGCTGGCATCCTCTCCCAGCACGTGGGGAAGCTGTGCAGGTCCGTGTTCTTGAGGAAGATGAGAACTAAGCCATGAGAACAAGTTAGGGTTGTGCCAGGAACAAACTCAGGAAGCGATTTTTTACTTTTTACTGGGGAACATCAGGCCTGTTACATTTCAGTGAATAAAAGTTAGCATAGAAGGGTGCTGTTAATGTGGGAGGTTTTACAAAACAACCAGTCAGTCAGCTGGCAGAATTGATGTGGTAGTGAATGTAAAGGAGCCAAACTTTAAAGGATGGAGAAAGAAAGCAGTTTCTGTGAGTAGGTTGGTCCTCCTATTAAGAATCCCAGGCCTGTGGATTTAGTTGCTGGCCTTCTGATTTATGAGCAGACACCGAGGAGGGGGTCACCCTCCACTTCACACCACATATGACAGTGGGTAGCAGTCCTATACTAGACACAGCCCTATGAGAGCAGACTCTAGGGAACTCAGGTCTCTATTCTACTTATGTGTTGTTCTAGATCTCCTGAAAGCTGGTGTGTTTTGTTTTGTTCTTTTAACAAATGCAGGGTTTAATCTACTTTTTAAATGTGTTTACTGAGCCTCATGTATAGACGTATATCACAGTGGGGTGATTAACTATAGATCCTGGGAACCGCTTCACCTGCACCCACATGAATGAACGAACTGGTGGGAGGGCCCTGGGTGTGGAAGAGCTAGAATCAAATGTCAGGTTCTTGCTGAGGTGACCCATCTCTAAACAGACCCACATCACACATTCTGTGATCCTGGTCATGCTGTCCACATCTTTTGTCTGTCTCAGACTATTGCAAGGCCAAATTTATGACATAAAGGAAAAATAAGGCTTTAATATGTAGTTTGGGAGGCATATGAAGGTAACTGCCAGCATTTGGTTCTTTCATAGTTTCTAGAGTGTTTGGGCTTTATGTGTGGCCATGTTTAGATCATTCCGTCTTTTTTTTATTGACTTGCTCTGTATAACTACGAAGACTTTCCTGAATTGCTAATACCACTTAGTGTCAAGTCTGGAAGGACCTTTGCCACCTTTGAGGGCTTTAATGGAGCATGTGTTTTGTTCGTGCCCCTTTTCACCAGCAACAGCTATCATCCAGGTTGAAGATCAGAATACAGGTGCAATTGAGAACATTATAGTTCAAGTAAAAAAGGAGCCAGATGCAGAGCCCGCGGAGGGGGAGGAAGAAGAGGCCCAGCCCGCTGCCACAGATGCCCCCAACGGAGACCTCACCCCTGAGATGATCCTCAGCATGATGGACCGGTGATGGCAGGGCCTTGTCTTCACCAGGACTGCTCAGGGCTGTGTTTAAACGGCCTGCATCTTACTTTTTCTCCCTTTTTCTTCTTTTGGCTTTGGGAAAAGCACCGTTTTACACCGTTTTACCAAACATACTGAGAACTAAAACTTCAAGGATGATGTTAGGAAAATGTGATTTAACTAGAACTTGCCATTTGATGTTAGCAAATCATGGAATGTTCCGAGTCCCTGAGGGTTTACCAGGAAGTGCTGAGGACAGTGTTGACGCCTAACTGGTTTCTTAGATGGAAACAGAGACATTGGACCCTCCTCCTTGCTATGGTAAACCACTCCAGAACAGCCACCGGGTTGCCCAGAGTTCTACGGTCTTCTTCCCAGGAGAGTTTTTAATTGTAAATGCAGACTTGGGAAGGACTTAGACTTTTAAACTGGTTTTTGCTTTTGCTTTTTCCCTGACTCCCTTTGCTTGGAGTCGGCTGCACACCAATAATACGGCATGCTACGATCGGTTTTTGTCCTAAAGGCTTTGCCTCTTTCTTGGCAAAGTTTCTGGTATGGTCAAGCTTGTAAATAACTTTTTTTACATTTTAATCTTTTCCATTAATTAAGAGGTTGAAAAGAAGTGCAGTGTAAGAAAACCCAGCATTTTAATTACCTGCAAATTAAGTTACCACAGACTGTAGTGTGTAAATGTTGACAAGGAATTGGATTGCAATCATGTAGCAGAACGGCACCCAGACCACTGCCCACTAGAGACGGACGCCCATGTAGAAGATCGTGATTTCCAGCCCATGGAGCCAGCATTTGAACCTTGTACAATTAACTTTCAGTTATAATTTCCCATCCACATTTTCTTTGCTCTGTTTGTAGCTGAATTTTCTGTTTTTTAAATCCTCTGTTAAAGCAGAAGGGTGATTATGAGCAGGTCACAGCAGTCCCTTAAAAGCTGGGCCAGAAATTTTCATTAGGTCAGTAATTTAAACTTTGGATCTTCAAAAAAAAAAGGGGGGAGGGGGGTTAATGATGTGAAGTGAAACCAACTATAAATGATTCTTGCACATGAACTGTCACGTTTAAAATGTGTTTTTTAGAGAGCCTCAGTCTTGTTGATTTCAAACACTTTTCTCTTCTGTGTATTGCTTTTAAGAGAGCCATCAGCTGTCAGACTCTAGGTTGATACATTTTGTACTTAGCTGTACTGTGTGATATTTTTCATTATTTTAGGACACCAACATGAGACCTGTAATAAAATACGTAATGGGGTTGAAAGCTGGGGAGGAGGATCTACTGCTGTACAGCTAATAAATCATAACGGATTAACAATGCTTCAAACACTGTCTTGTGTGATTCCTGTCTAATGAGAAGCCCAAAGGGGTCCGCGTGTGTGGCCTCAGGTGGTACAGGCCTGAGGTACAGGCAGGCTGTGTGGCCACTTCCTCTTTAGCAGATGGGAGGTGATCTTGGCAGATGGTGGGATACCTAGTGCATCTGTTCCAAGTTTTAACTCCCTGAAAGTGTGTGTGTGTGTGTGAGTGGATGGACATCTGCCATTCTCTATGATCCCCTTTAGGGAGTGGGTTCCCCATGGCCACGGGGGTGGGCCACAGAGCCTAGAGTAGAAGGGGCTGGTGGGGAAGCTCTGTCCTCAGGATCTCCGCTCAAAAAGGGTTAGGATCAGTACCTCAAGCTCTGCCAACTACAGGGGAACAGAGGGAAGCTGGCCAGTCTGTTTGACGGGAGGCAGAACAATGAGCAGGAGAGACACCTGGATAGCACAGCTGCTTATTAGCACCACAGGAAGCAGGAGGCAAAGGGAGTTGTGTTAGGAAGTTTACACATTAGTGGAAGGACATCTTGCTTCTGCTGGCCATTTCTGGGCAGATTGCTTTGGCAAGGTGAAAGCTTCAGCCAATAATTTTAGGGTTTTTTAACGAATTTCAACTTTCCAGTTTTCAGTGAGAGGTAACACAAAGGACAAGATGTGTGTAGCCTTTGGCTGGCTTGTGCTGTCCATGCAGTCAGATCTCCAGGAAAATATGTCATCTGGGGCCTGAAGACTACACCAGGCAGTCAGTATTTCATCTCCATCCCACCCATGGGCTAGCCCCCACAGGGACCAGAGTACCCGCTACTAGAATTCTTTCACTGAGCACATAGCTTTTAATAATTGTTAGGTATTTATAATAGAAAATCTCTGCAGAACAGTGAGATGTTTATCTTCAGCAGAGCTTTTATTTCTCATTGTATACACTCATGTTTAAAAGTTTAAATGTGGATTTGTTTTAGAGGAAGTGCAAGAAAAGTGACATGCTCATGGGAGTTGCGGCTGAAAAGGGATTCTCCATTGATAATCCTATGTGACTTCATTAAAACTCTGCCCAGCTGGTGTGGCATTGACGCATGAACCTGGAGGTCACAATTCGATTCCTGGTCAAGAGCACATGCCTGGGTTGCGGGCTCCATCACCAGTAGGGGGCGTGCAGGAAGCAGCCAATCAATGATTCTCATAATTTGTTTCTATCCTCCCTTCTCTGAAATCAAAAATATTTTTAAAAAATACATAGCCCTACCCGGAATGGCTCAGTGGATAGAGCGTCGGCCTGCGGACTGAAGGGTCCCAGGTTCAATTCCGGTCAAGGGCATGTACCTTGGTTGCGGGCACATCCCCAGTAGGGGGTGTGCAAGAGGCAGCTGACTGATGTTTCTAACTCTATCCCTCTCCCTCTCTGTAAAGAATAAATAAAATATATTTTAAAATAAATAAATACATACATAAAGCCTTCAGCAAAAACGAGTTCTCATTATTACTCCACACCTGAGAACTTAATGGGGAAGTTCCCTGGCCTGTCTACAGCACTCTTCCCCACTGTTAAACTGTGGTAGGTACTGGAGTGAGAAAATAATTAATTACATCTAAGTGGTGTTGCCTGTCAACTGCTGCCCAGCTCTTGTCTTTTAAAACCATCTGAGGGAGCCTTGTGGCAGCACTGGGAGGTGCAGCCTGGCCTGTCAGCCTGTGCTACTGGAGCAGGCGGGGCTTATTCCTCATTAGGACCTTTTAGCATTTCCTGAGCGCCCACGGAGTGTCATGCTGTCTGGAACATAGGAGCCGCTTGAACAAGCTAAGGCCTCCCCCTCTCACTGAGTCACTCACTGCTTGTTGGAGCGGAGTCCCATGCGTTTACTTGGTCTGTTTGTTTTGTCTCTGTCACCCTGAGTGCCAGCAGTTAATGAGGGTTTGTGGCTAGCTCAGCACCCCTGGTCTGATCTACATGCTGGTCCTGGTTTCCTTCTCCGTAGCCCCCTGCGTTCCCTGCCAGCACTCGCTGGACCATAATGACTGAGGCCTCCGGAGTCCCCACCTAGGGAACAGCTCCAGCCCTTTGGCAGTCATTCCCTCTTTTAGTTCTCATCCTTGTTATTCTAAACAGGAAAAGCCTAATGAGGTGGCGTTTTTGTGGTTATGTTTTGGAGTCCTAGGGTTGCCATGGTAGACTTGGCAAATGTGAGTGTTCACTGAGTGCCAGGCACTGTTGTGAGCACATCTCTTAATATTGAATCCATACAAGCAGCACTTAAGTAAGTTAATAGTTCCAGCTGGAACTGGAACTGGAAGCCCAGAAAGGTTAAGTAACTTAATGTCAAACAGCTGGTAAGAGATGGCGTCAGGGCTTGAATTCAGGCAGTCTGCCTTTAGAACTTGCATTCTTGACCACTCGGCCGTGGTGAGTTCTCACCCTAAAAGCAGTTTGTGGGTTCTATGTGGTCTTCGAGAGAGTTCCATCTTAACCAGATCTTGACTCCTTTCAAGTTGAAAGGCAGCGGAGCAGGACCTCCTCTTGCCTCTGTTGGCAGGAATTCCTAGCTCCCTCTCCAGCTGAGTCCTCCCGTCCTCTGGTCAGCTCTCAACTCTCACACCATGTTGCTTGAGGGGAGAGATGGCTGCCCCCAAGTTGTTAATATTCAGTTTCTACTTTCCACTTTGTCCCAGTCCTTGGTGGACCTCAACAAAGGGAGATGAGAAGGTGCTCGCACTGTCTCTGAGCCCCAAGGTGAGGAGGGGTAGCTGGAGGTGGGAAGGAAAAACCAAGGAGATTTCTGCCCAGTATCTCTCACCTACTCGTGGTTATTTCACCTGTGCCTAGCTGAGCTGTGGGCAGGGCAGAGGGGAAAAATTAATCCCCTCCTGTGAACCTTCCAAAATCTAGGTCCTTGGTCTTTTATAAGCCAACGTGCTTCTCAGGGCTGACCTTCTGATCCCTCCCAGCCCTGAAGGCAGTAGCTTTCCTCTCTCCTAGTGGTTCCCCCTCCCCAAATCCAGGCCAGGGAGAATGCATACCCAGAGGAGGACCCCACCCCCGTGTGCCTGGCCGCCTTTATTATTCACTCTGTCCCTCCCTGAAGCCCTCTGGTTTCAGGTTTTAGTCCCAGCTGCCCCCTGAGCACACACACGTGGACTTTCTCGCCTGACGCAGCCAGAACCTGATGAAAGCTGCGGAACCTCTGCCACAGAGAAGGGCGTCACAGCCTCCAGGTTAGAAGTTGCGAGAGATTCCACACTCCTGCTGAACAGATGCCCTTCCTTCCCGCCCCCGTGTTCACCTCCCCAGCTGGGCTTTTCAGGGTACTAACCAGGATGGGCCGGGGAGGGAATCCCCGAGCGGACAGCACCCCCTGGTGCTCGCTGCAGGGACTGCGGTATGGGGTAGAAGTAGGGGGCTAGAAACCGCTAGAGCTACAGACGAGTGCGCGACCCTGCAGGCCACACCACTCCCACCCGTCGGGCCTGACGGATTAGCTCCTGCGCGACGGGGTGGACGGGCAGTGGGGACTCTGCCTTCCTTCCGCACCCACGTAACCGGGCGACCTCTCCAGGCCCGCGGAGGCGAGGGCGGGGAGGAGCCGGGCTGGGGGCGGCCTGGCAGGAAGCAGCGCGTACCTTCCGCTGCAAGAGGAGCAGGTGGCTGCAGTGCGGCCCGGGGCCCCAGGCTTCCTGTGCGCGCCTGGCAGCTGCAGTTTCTCCTCGGAGCTCCTTGGGCCGCCCCCGCCGCCTGGCCCGGCCCCATGGCTCAGACCCCCGACGGCATATCCTGTGAGCTGCGAGGTAAGCGCCGGCCCTTCTTTGCCTACTTGTCTGGGAGGAAGCAGTGCGGGCCCCCAAACCAGGCCGACCCAGAGCCCTGGGGATGCCGGGCAAGCGTTTCTCTCTGCTCCTTCGGAGGGCTTGCTACCCCAAGATCCACTCCACTCCTTCCTTGCTGGCTCATAGATGAGCCCAGGCCCCTAGCCTGGTATAGACCATGGGCATGAATTGACCTCCATGGGAGGACTAGAGTCACCCAGCAGGTTGCCCTCCCACAGGCGAGATCACCAGGTTCCTGTGGCCCAAGGAGGCAGACCTGCTGCTGAAAACCTGGCTACCAGAGCGGGAGGGTGCTGAGCAAGGCCACGTCCTGGTATGGCAGGGGGCCAGCCTGGGAGGGTGCTGTGGCCCAAGCAGAAAGAGCCTTTTGCCCTGAACAGGGTGTCAGGCACTCTCTCCCCCCAGGCGCTGCTGCGATGGAGAGCCTACCTGCTGCACACCTGCCTCCCATTAAGGGTGAGTCCGTCCCGGGCCGGCCACCACCCACCTGGCCCTCCAGCAGCTTCCTTGACAGGAGGGCTGCAGCACTGTTCGTCTTGTCCTGTGGACTCTGCCCTTCCAACAGCACTGGGCTCAGGCAGCAGGCTGGACTGGAGTCTAGGCCCAGCCGGCTCTGAGCTCCAGGCTGCACAAAGGACTGGGCTCCCAGGAGGGTGGGGCTCCGGCCTTGGTCCCGGCTGACCCAGGCCGTCCACAGGTGGACTGCACATTCAGCTACCTGGAGGTCCAGGCCATGGCACTGCAGGAGACACCCCCTCAGGTGAAAACCTTAGTACCCGCCTACCAGGGCCTGCCTTCCCCTCCCCCTTCCCGTCCCCTCCCCCACACATGGAGCCCAGCCAGCCCAGCCCACCACCTGCTCTCCCCAGGTCACTTTTGAGCTGGAGTCCCTGCCTGAGCTGGTCCTGGAGTTCCCTGGTGTGGCTGCCCTGGAACAGCTGGCCCAGCACGTCGCTGCGGCCATCAAGAAGGTCTTCCCTCACTCCACCCTGGGGTGAGGCCCAGCACCTGCAAGGGACTGGCAGGGAAGGGGGGCGGCAGGGGGATGCTCTGGAGACAGTGGGCAGCTTCACACCCCAGAGGCTGGAAGCGCCTTTCTCTTCTCCTCTCTCCCCCTCCTCAGGAAGCTGTTCCGGAAGCCCACGCCCCCCTCCATGCTGGTTCGTCTGGAGAGAAGCAGCCCCTCAGA